ACCTGCAGGCGGCAGCCGAACACCGGTCACGCCAGTGGGAATGACTGTTCACGCGGGAGACCGTGATCGGCGATGAGGCCGCACATTGGGTGGAAGTGACATCTGCAGACGGGGCCCCGGAGACAGAGAAAGGGTTGTCAGCCCTTGTGCAGGTCTCCCACGACCTCGTGGCCACCTGTGCTCTGCAGCAGGAGGAAATCCTTCACCTGCAGCAGACAGTGGACCAGCTGCTCGCACGGCTGCAGGCGCAACCAGTTGCTGTAGCAGCCGCAGCGCCTTCCACCCTTACCACCCGTGTGCAAGTTTTGGAGGATGACGTCATCAACATCAAGCGTGTGCATCAGGACTTCCGGACGTCGCGGCAAGCAACAAACTTGCAGTTGGAGACGCAGGTCCAGGCTGCTGCCACCGTGACGCCCGCTGCAGCATTCTCCCGGCGCTCACCGAAGCTGGATGACATTCTCGTCTTCTGCGATCAGTCCAAGACGGAACTGATCCCGTGGTGGCGCCAATTTACTCTCAGGCTCGACATGCACCATGTCCCGAACAACGATCGACATCCGTGCTTGTACCACCGATCTGGTGGTGCGTGTCAAGCATGGCTGGACAACATCTTGACCAGATACGGCATAGCAGTGTCGGAACTGCACACCAAGCTCACTTGGCAGGAGTTGACCGACGCCTGGCACAAGCGATTCCAAGTGGAGCCGCCCGACCTGCAAGCGATGGATAAGCTCAACAAGCTCCATCAGAACACGCTGCTCAGTCAGGACTGGAYTACCGAGTTCCAAAGACTCGCCTCCACACCTGACCTGCCGCTCGCATTCCGCGCCATCAAGCACTTGTTTATCATGCGCTCATGTCCAGCTCTGCAAAACGCGCTGACGCAGATTGCAGAGACACTCGACACATCTGACAAGCTTTTCAACATAGCGTCACGGATCATTCTCACGAATATCGAAGCCCGCAACGCCGGCCGATCTTCCGCAATGACGAGTGGCACCCAGCCCAAGCCAAAGGTGGCTTGCATTACTTCTACCGATTCTGCAACACCAAACGAGGGTAAGTGTTGGCAGCTGCCCGGGATGGTGGCCGGCCGCGCAACAATCACGGCCGTGACAAGACGAAGACTCAGTCCACCTCTAAACCGAGCACCGGATCAGCCGCCGACGAACCTTGGGCACAATACGGACTCTCCGCGAATTTTTATCGCCCGAGACTCAAGTACCGTTACTGCCTTTGGTGCAACAGCACCATCCACGATGCTGCACATTGCCCCACCAAGGGGAAACCCCGTCAGGGAAAGTAGAAGCCGCCGAGGGTGACTCGACACCTCCCTCGATGCCATCGGAAGTGGTTGTGCGCACGACCGCCCTTTCTTCCGAGGCATATGCGGATGTTGGGAGTCTTCCACGTTTGTTCGAAGACTTCGCTGCCTGGCTCGTTCCTTCACTGGATGCTTCTCAAGGACAAGATGCATGTGCGGCTTTCTCACCGTCCGAAGATTCTTCCGCCAGTTCGTCTTCATCAAGGGATTCGGCAAGCGTGTTCAACTAGGAGGCTTTGGACCCGCTCACCCATGAGGACTTCGCTTGGATTCCTCTCCCTACGACGGGCAACCTTCCGGGGCCGCAAAGCGCAGCCCTATGCGCCCTCTTACACAAGTATCTTTCCCTCCATGCACCACCAACTTCGCCGACGGTAGACGAAGTCGCGGTGGGGGACATACTTGGCTACGTTTGCCAAGGTGGCCCGCGAGTTTGTCTCGGAACGGTACAAAGAAAACAACGCACGGTTGCTCTACGTTCGCATTCAGATTGGGCAAGCGGCCTGCAACGCTTTCCTAGATTGCGGCGCAACTCGCAACTTCATCAGCCAGTCCTTCATGACTCGGGCTGGCCTTGGCGCACAAGTATGGAGGAAGTCACATCCGACGACGGTCGCTCTTGCCGACGGTAAGACGAAACAACTTTTAGACCTTTACATCTCGGCTGTCCCGGTGTACTTTGCACCACACGCATGTGAACCTGTCACTTTTGATGCGTTGGACACCGACTTCGATGTCATTTTGGGGATGCCTTGGCTTTATAGTGCGGACCACACGGTCAATTTCCATCGACGCACGCTCATGATTCGTGATGCAACTGGCGCCGAGGTCCCGTGTACTATTCCTCCTCCTCGCTCTTCCATTAGGTGCCAAGTCGTGAGTGCCAAATCTTTTCGAGACACATGCCGTTCCGAGCATGTCGAAGAGATTGGCATCGCTTTGCTTCGAACCGTCCCGATGACCGATTCATCGTCCACAGAGGTGTCTTCCGACCCCTGTGTGACCCGGTTGTTAGACGAGTTCTCAGATGTTTTTGAGACACCCTCCGGTATAGTGCCGGACCGGCCAATC